AAAGCTCTTAGGTTTTTCTCTTCTCCTGTAGATGAAAGGTCTTGTCTTCTGTTAGACTGGGAAATAAACTGAGGCAAGGAATGTACTCAAGGATCAAAGTCTGGACTCCTGGCTCTGAGGGGCCCCCCCCCCCCCCCCGCTCTAGCCACTAGGCCGCACTGCCCAGTCACTCCAAAACACTCACTTGCCCTCATGGGGCACACCGGAGGATTGGAAAGTCATCTGGGATAGCCATGTCTGACACAGAGGGAAGCAGGCTGGGTTTTTGGGCTCAGCCCAGAGCGGTGAGGGAGCGTGGGAGAATCTAGGCTATGTCCCGAAGAAGCTGTTTGCATGTGAATCAGTTGTCCTTTCTTAGTGGTGTTTGCTAGCAAAGCTGTTTTCCCTAATCCTATTATCCAGAAGCCATGCAAGACAGCGCTTCTATTTGATGACTCAGAGCTAGGAAGGGTTAACCCGTCCAAATCTCGCTGCTCTGTACTGTTACCCCTACCCTGGCTCGCTCCTCCCAGATCTTTGAATGTTTGAGATTTAAGATCGAAATGGAAGAGACTTTCCGTAGTGGAACAGCTTCCATTGGCACAAGCTGCTTGAACAAATCTTATTAGGTGTCGGAGCGTAGAACATACTTGTGAGGGTGCTCTTTGGAGCCAGCACCTTGGTGAGTCATAGCAAGTTGACCAGTTACGAAGGTGTTTATAATGCGTTTTAGTGCCGGTGGGATGAGGTGACCTCGTTTCAGGGTTAGCTTTGTAACAGGGAATCCTATTGAACTGCAAAATCCCCGTTGTGATCGTGTGACAAGCCTGACTCGAAAGCCTCCAAATCCAGGAAATGTTGCTGCGAGGCTGAAATTCCATTCTTCCCCCACTCAGTAGCACAGCACCCATGGGAGTGTCTGGGAGGGGGTGGGTGTCGGGGAAGCCCTGCGGTAGAAAGCCAAGTAAGGTGCGGGGAAGGGATGGGCTTTCGGCTCCGTTTCTTTGCTCGTATGGGTTGCTTGGGGCCTTTCTCCTGCCCTCGTTTACATTCCACAAGGAGGCTTTTCGTCTTAGGTAACCGAGACACACGTGTGAGTCTCGACACGGTTCTCCCTTCCGTGCACACCGTGAGGGGCTCGGCGCTCTCACCTCCCTGCTGGCCCCTGGAAAGTACACTGGGCCTTGACGAGCTGGTGCTCTTAGCCTTCCAACTCAGCTCCCACCCTCCTCAAATACTTGCGGGTATTCCTCCCCGGCTTGGGAGCACCCTAGTGCCAAGTCTCACTGTAGCTGGTGGAAAGCAGGAGAAGGGAAACCATCTTGGCTGGTGGGGGGTCTCTTCCCCCCCCCTCTGTAGTCTCACCACAGTCCTCAGAGGGAATTTTGGGTCCTGCTCGTGGGGCGGCTTCCTGCCAGTTTGCCACTGATGCGGGGTGGTCATCAGCCTGTCTGGCAGGCTCAGGCGCACTTCTGCCTGGGCTGCAGCTCCTCATCCTAACCTTTGCTGATCAACCGATTAGCCACGGATGGGGTAGGAGCTACTCTGTCTCTGGAGCCCTTATTGGCTGTGGCGGCATGCGGTTTATACGCCCCAGCACAGCGCCGTTTCACAAGGATGCTGTGTGCATTGGAGTGAAGGGGCAAATTCTGTCCTGATCCGAAACTAGACATGGGGGTGGAGGCTGAAGGGGGTGTGGGTGCAGAGAAGCATGCCAGGCTTGCAATCATTTCAGAGCCTTTAAAAAGAGTCCACTTTGAGGGTGACCCCCAGAAATGAGCGAATGCTCAGGGCTGTGGGTTCGACTTCTTATATCTTCCAAATCAGCTTTGCTTTCCCTCTTGTGGCACCATCTAATAAAGTGAAACCAACCAGTTGTGTTGGATGCAAGTTGAAACATGAGTGCTAGATTTTTTTTTTCCAGCCTGCCCTTCCTCGCTGGCTGGCGTGAATGCTGTTTTTATTTCGCTGAGTTAAGGTTGGAGCGGTTTGTTGGCGCAGCTTCTAAAGGCTATTTTTACAGCCGCATTAAATCTTCCAGAGTTATGTGATACTGCTGAGGTGTTTAGGAGCTGGAGAGGCCTTGTTTGAGGCTGCAGATGGGAACCCAAAAGGATCATCTCCTACTTAGTGAAAACAGAGCAGTCTTTCCCCCTCTTCCCACCCACGCAGCCTTCACCGCGGTCCCATCAAAGCTACCTTGTCTCCCTTAACAAGGTGAAGGGTGGGGCATTTCTCAGAAACCTCTCCCTGTGTGATCTCCTTGTGCTCTGCAAATGTACATCTCTTACTTGGCAGAGCTGGCACCTGACCATGGCGGTAGGGACAGAGCTCCTTTCTGGTGGGGTCTATTGGGGAGGGAAGATGCAGTTGATTGCTTTGAAGCTGCCTTGCAGTGTCGTACTAACCCCAGTGTGGAGCTTGCTTGCATGTCTCGGCCAGGTCACTTTTGTCATGGGCTGGCTGTGTAGTAGGAACTAGTTTGGAAGGAGATGGTGCTAATAAGCGTCCACTTTTAATGATATTTCGATTCAGGTTTGCTACATCCTATGACATATTTTGCAAGAACAGGGTCCTAGCCCTAGGTAAATTCATGACTACTTAGTCCACCTGCAGGATATTTTTGATTATGTTGGTAGGGACTGTTCATTTCTTACATTTGTACGGTGTTTAGCACTACGGTGCTCGGATGTCTAGGTGTAACCTGAATACAAGTCAATCCATAGGTTTGTCTGTCTGTCGGTGGTCCTGCAGTCACACACCTTGACCCCACATCTGCTGTTGAAAACAGCCTTGTAGAAACAGTGGGGGGTTCAGAAATTAGCCTTAAAATTGTTTGAAGCTCAGAGAAACTTCCACAGGAAGAGAGATTTGAAACATTGCGGCTGTTTTGTTTAAAAAGGAGGCAAATAAGCGGGGACATGATAAAAGCTTACCAAACAATGGGTGGTGTAGAGAAGGTAAATGTGGAACTTCTATTTGCCTTTCTCATGGTGCAAAAACAAGGGCACAAAACAGAAAGGCAGAGGACTTCCAATTAAAAAAAAGCTACATATTTTATGGATAACTTATGGAACTCATTGCCACAGGGTATCATTAAGACCATGAGTTGGGAATTTGAAAGAGGACTGGACATTTATATGTCTAATGAGAACATGCAGAGCTTTCTTAGTAAGAAAAAGGAACAGCCCCCTGCCTGCCAACCCCTCCACCCCCCCAAATTTGGAAGAGACATAAATCCTCATGCTTCAGAGTATAAACTAACTTCTAATACATGGGGTTAAGAAGAAATTCCCTGTATAGGTAGGTAGGTTATTCTATCCTAGCGCACTTGAGAGTTTCTTTCACCTTCCTGGGAAGTATCTGGTACTGGCCACTGTCAGAGAGACCGGATGCTCGGTGAACCCCACTGGTCTGTTACGTTATACCATCCCTGTATAGCTCACTTTTGCTTTATTTAAAATAAATTATATGCAATCTCTGTAGAAGTGTGGGTGCTCTTGATGGGAACAGCAAAAGCCATTCCTTTTTTAAGGCCAAATTTGGTAATGGTGATTATCTGAAAACAGCTGTGTGAACGGTTCCTCCCTTTGCTCCCAAGTGCACTAAATCATTGTGGACCAAGTGAAAGGGGACAGCAGAGCATTTTCCACATTAATGATTAGCTGGAGCAGCATAATATGTGGATGTCTTGTCAATTGCTGTCTTGCCCAGCTCCTGGACGGAGGGATTGCTTATTGAACATTCTGTGACCTTTAGCTAAAGGTGAAAATGCATATTACTTGTATGCTTAACCTTCTAATGTGTCATGAGCTCCTGCTCTCTCAAAGGAAACCTTAACATGAACGGTTTTCATTTTCCATCAACCCGCAGAGTTTTTCTGTAAACAGATCAATTAGAACATAAGAACGGCCCTGCTGAGTGAGAACAATGGTCCACCTAGTCTAGTATCCTGTTTTCTGACAGTGGCTGGTGCCAGATGCTTCAGAGGGAATGAACAGAAGAAGGCAATTTGAGTGGTCCATCCCCTGTCATCCAGACCCAGTTTCTGGCAAATTTCCTTTCATAGCCTTTCCTCCATCCTTCACTGTTAAGCCCCAAGTAATCTGTAGGCAATGGGGTGGGAAGGGTTCCCACCATTCATATATCAAATTTCCTGTGGTGTCCTCCTTAATCATCATAATTCACCAGCTCATGTCCTGCCGTTTCAATGCTGTAGAAATGACTATGACCTGG